AAATCTCTTGAACTCTCGTCTAAGGCCCAGAAGGAAGAAAAGGAATAGTCGAATAAAGTCGTTATTTGTTTTATTTAAACACAAAAAGTATTCTGGTCGCTTGATAAACTTATAGTTGAGCCACTGTAGTCACGTGAAATATTTAAACATTTTCTTCACTGACTTTCTGGGCCATCAAGTTTCAATCCCTTAGGGTGCCTATGTAGCACTGATCCACCTCTCAAATTTAATCAAAAATATCTTCATTTGTGTTCCGAAGATGAATGAAGGTCTTACGGGGTTGGTACAGCATGGGGGCGAGTAATTAATGACTTAATTTTCATTTTTGGGTGAACTAAGGGAAGGAGATTTATCACTGATCCAATTAAGTAAAATATTTTTCCTCACAAATCACAAATTGTGTGAGCTTGTGATGACTAGGGAAAGCGTGCAGCTGAGAAGTCCTGATTATATTGTCTGCTGGTTGATGAAACATTGATTAAAATGCATTGCACGAGCGACAAATCTCAGACAGTAAACTGATGCCCCATTCTGCTTTGTAACAGGTGCTTTTTCACGTCTAGGGTAAACAGCATGAGCCTTAAATCAGAATGAGCCTCAACACTGTCTACACCGGACGCGATCGTTATTGCTCGCGTCACAACAGCTGTTTACCCTAGACGTGAAAAAGCACCTGTTACAAAGCAGAATGGGGCATCAGTTTACTGTCTGAGATTTGTCGCTCGTGCAATGCATTTTAATCAATGTTTCATCAACCAGCAGACAATGTAATCAGGACTTCTCAGCTGCACGCTTTCCCTAGTCATCACAAGCTCACACAATTTGTGACAGGCTGGTAGCAGAGTAATAAGTAAAAGGTTACTACCAACCGAATGAAGAAGGGTTGGCTCTCAACAGAACATAAAATATTCATTTTTATAAATCTCCTTTAAGGATTTAAGTGTTTTACTTCCTGCTTATTGTGCAGGATTTAAGTTGTACTCTATCTTTAACACACTTTCAGATGCTCATTCATGTTTATTTCGCCGCTGTGACTGGTATTATTAAGCCGGAAGAGAGATCAGCGCCGCTGCTTCTCTTTAGCTGCGCCAGAGCGATCTCACGCCACAGCGCCAAAACGCTATTTGTGTTTTTGAATTTCTAAAGAAAATGGACATAATTTGAAAATTGAGACTTTGTTTCATATCAATAGTAAAAAAGGACAAAGATTATTGCGATTTTTTTTTTTTTTTTTTTTTTGGATGCACACAGCCGCGATACAATGTTCCATTCATTCAAATGAAACAGAGAATGGATATCGGTTCGTAAAAATGAGAATCGATTAATATCGAGAAATCGATATTTATTACCCAGCCCTAATAGACTCCATACTAGTCTTCTCTTCTCTGAACAATTAAGCATCTTAAACTATTTCCGAACAGTTCTCTGCCCAAAAGACGGGAAAACTGGTTTACTCCCAACCCCTTCTGGGAGGCCAGATTCATAGTGTGAGCAAAACATCTGATCTGTGGAGACAATCCGGCTGCATGTGAGGCATTGACAATGTTCTTTGCATTATCAGTTGTCACAGGGATGGTTACATTTTGTCTGTCCAACTTCCATTCCACTACCAGAATACAACTGTGTTGTACTGCCAGCAAAGGAGAGAATATTATACAATTTCTTATTAGCAGACGAAGTAATGCAACTATTCGGTATACCCAACAAAAGTGAGACTGGGTCAAAATCTAGTTGAATATTAAAGATCCTTTCCATCTCTCCTAGCACCAGAGACCAATACCGTTGCAGCCTGTTACATGACCATAGACAATGTGTTAAAGCACCTATTTCAATTTTGCATTTTAAACACATAGGCGATGCAGAGGGGTTGAAAAAATGCCTGCGGTTAGGAGAAATATGGAGCCTATGAATGATTTTTAATTGTATTTCTATTATTCTTGTACAAACAGATTTTTTTTAGCATTAGACCATTAGATGGCTTCCCGTGTTTCATCATCAATATTAGAAGCTAACTCTTCTTTCCATTTAGTTTTAATACTCTGTGTATCAGCAGAAGAGACTGAGCACACTGAACCATAGATCCTACCCAGAGACATTTTCCCTGATGATAAAAATAATAACCTTTCAGTAGAAGAAATTTCACAATTTCTAACAAGTGTAGTGTTGTCAGAAATATAATGTCTCAATTGGAGGAAACGAAAAAAAATCTAATTTGGACAAATGGTACTTCTGAGGATGCATTTACACTGCAGTCTTGATGCCCGAATCCGATTTTTCTGACTATATCCGATTTTTTTTGACGACCTGCTTATCTTTTAAAAGTGACACAAAAGTGATACACTGCTGAAACTACCAAATGCAGACGTTCTGATGGTTCTGAACCGGGAAATTAAGCAAAACAGCACGAAATTCAATGGATGCAGATGCGAATAAAATTATCCAGTGTTTTCTTTCCACAATATTTCAATAAGTCATCAAAACATTGGTATCGTAAGGCGGAGAAAAAAAAGAATAGAGGCTCTGGCCATGAGCACTTAAAACGATGCCTCATATCTCGTGAAATGTCTTCAAAAACTGATTTATTTCTGTAACAACCCTGCATTTTTGCCTGCACTCTTCACCCCAAACACTCAAAAGACATGAGACCTCCGCATTGCTCCACTGTGTGTATCCTTTCTTCCATCGCATGGCTCGTGCCTATAATCGTGCAGTTTTTAATGACGCATGACTCGCATTTAATGGGGAATATCCTATTTGTCTGCTTACATAGCACACGCAAATGCACGTATCTGATTCATATCCGATTTATTACCACATATGAATGAGGCCTGAATCCGATCTGAGAAAATCGGAACCCATGCGTTTTTTTCCTGCTTACACGTTCACCGGTCATATCCGATCTGTGCCACATGAAAAAAATCGGATTTGGGTCACTTGAACCATGCAGTGTAAACGAGGCCTGAGTTAACTCCTCAAATGACATTAATTTATTGTTTGAAAACATATCCCCAAGCTTACTAAGTCCTAAACAACATCATTGTTTAAAACCATCATCCAAAATTCCTGGATGAAATCAGGATTATTTAGTATTGGGGTGAAGAGAGAAGTCAGTTTAGATCTACCTTCAAGCCTACATGCTGATCTCCATGCTTTCAGAGTGTTTACTATAATTGGATTATCATACATCTCTTTTATTTTCTGAAAGCTCTTGACAAAAAGAAGAGCACTCAAAGGGAATTTTGAAAAGGAAGATTCGACATCCAACCAAGTAGAGAAAGAATCATTCCTGACCCATTCTGCAAGGTATTTCAGATGTATCAGAACTTAACTGATACATCTTAATATTAGGAAAATCCAACCCCCCCATAGAACTTGGAAGATAGAGTACTGACATTTTTAGTCTAGGCCTATGCTTACTCCATATAAAGTAAGTTAGCCAGCTGTTAAGGCCCTTTAATGTCCTATTTGAAAATAGTATAGGAACCATTCGAATAGGGTATAATAGTTTTGGTAAAACAATCATCTTTATAAGTGCTATTCGACCTAGCCAAGATACTGGCAAGGAAATCCAGCATTCTAAGTCTAGCTGTATTTTCTCAAATAAAGGAACAAAATTAGAATCATACATCTGCTTCAAGGACGAAAAAATAGAAATGCCAAGATAAATAAAGCCCAGGGGCGACCACTTAAAAGGAAAACAGGGTGTAATGTTAGGTATGGAGATGAGAGTACCTAAAGGCATAGCTTCGGATTTAGCTAAATTAATTTTATGATCATATATTTTTTGGATTTGTTGTTTATCTTTATAATGAAGTTGTCTGTATTAAGTAGATTGTGTTTAACACACAAAAGAGTTATTATGAGTTCATCACACAGAGTTATAGAAATTCTACATTATTTAAAAAAAAAAAAAAAAAAAAAAAATCGTAACGGTATCATTCAATACTCAGAATTTTTGGTATCGGATTGACTCCGAAAAAAATTGTATTGGTGCATCCCCAGCTATCAGTGATGCGCGAGTTGATCCAAAATGAGCGGGTACCTGCGGTCAACCGCGGTTACCCGCAGTTACAAGTCATCCAAAAATAATTTTAATGATATTCGGGTCGCGGTTGGTCGAGTCGTTTGAAATAAAGATGCCAATTAAACCTTTGAATATCATACTAGACACAGCAGTGGCAGCAACATGTCTCAGTTTAGTGAACTGTTGGATTTACTGGAGTAAAATATACTCCGGGATATTGGTTTATTTTGATTCGGAGGGACTGTCAGGCATATCTGAAAGTGAGTAACTTTAGTAACTTGTGGATTAAGCACTGACCCAAAACGCGAACTGTTTCGAACAATTCAGTGCGGTTATACCGGTTCACTAAAATGAACCGGTTCAAAAGAACGATTCGTCCACGAACCGGCCATCACTACAGTCTGCAGGGAGAGATGGAGGTGGCAAGAGAAAAGGTGAAGACTGGGCAAATAGCTACACATAGAAAGACCAAAGTGTGGGAGAAATAATGAAAGATGACTAAAGTGCTTTGTTATGTGTACTTCTTGCGATGCTATTTACATATTTGTGTTACACGTCTATGGCCCAATGACGCTACGATGAGCATTTACTACTTTTAAAAATGCGGATCAGGAAGCGGGTCGGTTACAATATTTTCTTTCTTCTTTTTTTTTTTTGCAGTCCGAGTTGCGGGCGGGTTAGTTGAAAACGTTGGTCGGATGCGGGTTGTTTATACATTGACCCGCGCATCACTGCTAGCAATTAGTGATGCTAACGATTAATCGACGATCCATTAATTGTCAATTTAATCAACAAAACGTACCGATCATAGATTAAACAAGGTTTAATCGGCTAAGGCTAAATGGTTAATTAAGACTATCAATTAACTCAATTTACACAAGAATTGATCAATGGGATGCATGTAAACTACCTCCCCAATCAGCTATAGAGCCCTTTTCCTCCATGCTGCGTGTGCGTGCGTGTACGTCTCATGTACCTCCTGTACGTGGATCTGCAGGTCTGTGAGGGCGTTCTCCAGGGTCTTCCTCTCGGACACCGCCGTGTTCAGCGCCGCGTCTCTAGAGTTCAGCAGGGCTTCAACCTCCTTCAGCCGGGCCTGAGCGCAAGTGAGGTCCGCGTCCTTCTTAGCACATCTGTGACAAACAAACAAACAGGAGGCTGGGACCGTTTCGTGCCAGGCAACTGCTCTGCTGAAAACTACTGTGTACGCAGTACGGCGCAAGATCGTTTTGAAATTTAAAAAACAACAATTAAAATTTCAATTGGTTTCAATTAAAAATAAAACACAATCGACTATTCACTAGGGGTGGGAATCTCTAGGCACCTCACGATTCGATTACGATTCAGAGGGCTTGCGATTCGATGCTAAATCGATTATCTGAATCTTTTTTTGTGTGTGTGACTATAAATACTTTGCTTTAAAAGTACAAAGTAATGACCCTGAAGAATTAATGTAAAATGTATTTTATTAACATTGCAAAGAACCAACAGGAAAATAAATGTGTGCCTGAACTAGCAGCATACTTATACAACAACGACCGGTACAGCAGAGTGTTTTTCCTCCTCTGGCTAAAAACGTGTCATAAGGCTTCTCATACTTGTGTTTCCGAAATATTTTAATTTTATTCTACAAAGCGTACAACTAGTGTGGCTCTTGTCCAGCTCCTTTTCAGCTTTCTTTCTTCTGTTGAAAATAAAAGTTATTTTGAATAATGTGTTAACCGAACAGTTGCCTGTCCCCAGTGTAGGCCTATAGTTTTTTTTTCTCTCCTGGAAGTTGATTGGGACCAGCATCTAACCACATTCAAAAAAAAAAAAAAAAAAAAAAAATCTTCTTTTGTGTTCAGCACCAGAAAGAAATTAATACAGGTTTGGAACAGCATTAGAATGAGTAAATAATGACAGATTTTTTTTTTTTTTTTTGTGAACTATCCCTTTAAGGAGGAGCGGCAGTTCTATTTACTCCTGTCGCTTTTAGACCAGCACGCGACGCGTTTAATATAGACGCATATTACACCAGATTTCTCTCAAATGTTTGCTTTTACTTTAGACATAGCCAATTTTGTTAATGTAAACATTGTGTGTATTTAACAGTATTAGCAATAGCATAATAAGGCACGAAAGATAACTTAGTCCAGTATTCAGGCGCTGTTTGACTGGCTTGTGGTGCCTGTGAGCGTCGGGGGTATGCGCTCTGGAAAGCGCACGTTAGAATAGTGCATCAGCTTGTGAATTAAATGTTTAACCGGTGTGGTGAAGAGATGAGTCCCTCTGAAGAGATGGGTCCCACCTTAGGACCCAAGCGATCCGATTGGTTCAAAGCTAGTTTTATGGGTAATCGCTTTAGTGCCTGGTTACAAATTAGAGAAAATCACTTTATTATAAGAGACGTTTGAAGTATGTTATAACGAGTCATTAATGTATTTTAACTTACATGTTTCATATACTAGTATATAACTGAAGCTGTAGATTGTAAATTTAAATATTTCTCATTCTGTTTTTTAGTTAGCTTACATAGTAGATAAAAGACAGTACTTAGATAGTAAATAAACCACATATTTGAGCTTTAAACAAATACATTCTCGGCTTAAAAACTCTTAAAATTACATTTCATGACACAATAACAGTAATATTTTTAAATTTCGCGGACTTTCTCCTCAGTTGTTGACGCAACCTACTATGAAAAGCGCTAAACAAAATAAACGTATTACTTGAGAAGTGCTAAACAAATAAACATATTACTTGATGGCAACAAACTGCTTTTATCAAGTTATAGCGAGAACATATTTAGATCAGGCATATTACTAGTATACTATGGGGTCCTAAGGTGGGACCCATCTCTTCGGGGGGGACTCATCTCTTCACCACACTGGCAAGGCTTATGCAAATAATGAACTTTAGTGAATTGCCGTATCTCGTACCTATTCATTAACGTGTGATGTGTAGGCTACGTCGCGTTGTACAGTTGAGACAGAGACGCCAGAACTGAACTGATAGAATGCACTGTAAAATGATAGTACGATATTTTTTCAAAAGCAGATCGTGGAGACATTTTAATCGTCCACGGTCAAAAATCATGATATCGCACACCCCTCCACACGTCAGCTTTTAACGAGGAGGGTGTTTGGATTCGGCGCTCAGTCATCGCTGTGTCTCTGTTATGTGCACGTAACAGACGGTCCGGCCATTGCACTTCCGCGCTTCAGAGTTCAGTCTTTCGCGTTTCGTCAATATTACGTTATTATAAATATATATTTAAAAAAAAAACTTTTTTTTTTGAAAATCGATTTGACATTTATGAATCGATTCAGAATCGTCCACGTCCGCATCGCGATGCATCTAAGAATCGATTTTTTCCCCCACCCCTACTATTCACACACACTTCTAAAGGAAACAAATTAGAACTATCAAAAAGCTGTAATAAAACAAACATAAGGTGACCATTTCTTAAAATTATTAATAATAAAGTGCACCGTTCAACTTCCGATGTTGGATCGAGCAGAACACCAGAGCCTGATCTAGCTGCACAGTATTTCACTTGTTTTAAATCTCACTCACAACAGCCTTTGCTTTTGGAACACATTTCTGGAAGGGCAACTTGGGAAACACGCGTGTTGGCAGCTAGCATCACTTATCAAGCGCATGGAAGTTGGAGGGTGGAGAAAACAACTTCCTGCAGTTTTGAAATCATGAATGATCAATCACCAACGATCGAATCAAAATCATTGGGATTTTATGATAACACACAGCGTTGTGCAAAATTAATCAATCAATCAATACATCAGGATTCTTATTACATTAAAGTAAATGTATTTTTAATTTCTGTTATATAATTTGCTAGTCAAAAAAAGTGGAAAAGTGAAAACCAAAATCATGAGACTTGAGCAGATCCAGTCTGAATCCTGACACATCACGAGACTGCCGGCAACAATCGGCTCATACACACATCAGGCATGTGATCAGGTAAAGACAAGAAAAAAAAGCCATATGGCAGGCAGGGGTTATTAGAAACTACAGTATTTTATCCAAATTAAATAATAATAATCGTATTACTGATTTATATTATATTTTATATATATATATACATATAAAAATCACATTACTGGTCTATAAATCTCCACATAGTCAAACGCTGAGCTCTTGGTCTATTTGACTACACCACTATTATCCTTACTTTTTAAACACCTGAATCAGCCATTTACTGCATGAAACTGTGATGAGTGACACACATGGAAATATATTTATTTAACAGCTATAATTAATTTCTAGTAATAAAAAACAGGACGTCTTAACTTATCTTTGGGGAAAATGTAAGGGAGATAACAGTTCTGTAGTTCTGTAAAGAAAACAACTGTTTCCAAAAACTTCAACAATAAAACAAAATGTTTTGTGTTTTGGTATACTGCACATCATATTCTGTCTACACAGATAAAACAACCTAAGAACCATTTATTAATTATATTAATGCTTTTTACGCATTAGAAAATAAAAGACTACAGAATCTTATCAGCATGATGAATAAATTATATCAACTGGAATAAACCGTACACAGAAAGGGAGAAGAGAACCAATCAAGCTTTGCGTGCTCTTTATATGCATAAATGACCTTTTACGTATAAATGACCTTTTACGTGCATCCAATAAGCAATTTAGCACCATAGGCTACATATGATACACACTTTTTGCCTAGCAGATGCATGCATTACTTTGGAATATAAAGAGCAAGCTAATAATAACACTTGTGCTTTAGGCCTAGATATGCAGTGCCAGGAACGATCGTGAGGCTGTCCATAACTTAAACATAAGTTTAAGCACGCACAAAACTCCCGTTAAAAATCAGAAACGTGCGACATGAATCTCTTGCATCAAATCTGCACTTTGTTGTTTATTAGGGAAGTCAGAAGAATTCAATCAGCACACTGAACAAAACTATTCGTTTCAGATATGACTAATCTGAATGCCTCCGATTGGTCATCACGCTCAAACTCAACGGAAACGTGTGCAATTGGTTAAAATGCTCAATGCTGCAAAATAAAATCTGATGGAAATGCCGTAGTAGGATGGATGGTTAAAATGCTCAATGCTGCAAAATAAAATCTGATGGAAATGCCGTAGTAGGATGGATCGAATAAACGTTAAGTATTGTAGTTTGTTTAACTAATAATATCACTTAAACATATTCTATTATATAAATATTTTTGAAACAAATTACAATGACTTTCCCAAAACATCCAAACACCCCCTATTTTATTTTTATTACTGATCTGCATGATTCACGTGGGTCATGATCTTGGGATGAAATAACCGGAATTCCGGAAGAATCACATCCCTGCTGCATAAGCTAATGAAAAAATAAGTTATGTCTTTATTTGTTCTTCTGTTTCCTTTTATCAGTCATCTTATGGTGCTTTATTTTGTATTGTATAGCACCTTGTTTCGATCATTGAATGTGCTTAAAAAATAAACTGAACTGACCTAACAGTGAGTGAGCAGCTTGATTTGTGCTTTGTGGCTGGAGATCAGAGGTTGGTGCGGTCGGCTCATTGGTAGCACTGGGCTCTCACTGGCACACAGCTAGGGGTCAAGATGCAGGTTACAATACCTGTTGAGCAAACATCCCTCTAATGAAGAGATGATTTAACATGGCTCATGAAGTGAGCGATTGTCCTGAAGCCTGATGAATAGTGTGTGCCGACTAGGGTTGGGTATCGGCTGGGTTTTATCCGATACCAGTACCTACTCTGTATTTTTTAAATGGTTCCGGTGCCTAAACGGTTCTTGAAACGGTACTTAAGAAAACGAAACCACACACTTTGTCAAAAAAATAATAATACCCCTTTATTTACAGGGCCAAACTGGACACAATATTAACTTACAATATAAATACAAGTAACATATGGTAATAATAAATAAACCAATATAATATAAAAGTTCATATTTACATAATATCAAAGAAAACAATATTATATTAAACAATGTAATTATACTGGAGATTAATAGAGATTACTACCAGGGTGATATAATATCGACATGGCTACAGGTTTCCATGTTTTGTCTGCTTCATAGAGCTGGGTTTCGATTCAAATTTCAAGAATTGGTTCGATTCCGATTCTCAAGATCTTGAATCGATTAT